TTATTATTATTATTATTATTATTATTATTATTATTATTATCATTATTATTATTATTATCATCATCATCATCATTATTATTAACAGTTTTCTTGAGAAGTTGTTGTTTCTCCCCCTGAAAAATTCTCAAGACAAAAATGAGAAAAGCATCGAACTATCACTCTTTCTCAGCACCAAAATATAACTTTTTTCTGAACAATATGGCCCCGCAAGGAAACAGCCGGTGAACTCCATGTAGTCTATTTATAGATTATCATATTAAATTTTAAAACGAGAATTCTTACCTCAAAATACCAATTTCCCTTCAATACACCTGAAGACAGTAATAACTACATGTGAGTGAAACTAAGTCAAGATGTGCCGCGAACGCTAAATTAGAATCGATTACTGCATCTCATTTTACTTCATGACTTAAACCTTGTTGGTTGCGCGGTAAGGGACATATTTACTTTTGTCTTTCAGGAGTACCAACCTTCTTCGACAAGAAGTTGAAAGACGCATCAAGACTTGAGGGAAACAAAACTTTACTAGCTGTGTAATACTAAGTGATTTGTAATATAGCCACAAGAAATGGAGTAAACAAGAACACGCTTTTTGTCCCCTCGGTGGAGGACATTTTCGGAGCGTTTGCGTGTTTATCAAGCTCTACCATTGTACCCCACGTAAGGTAATCCTAGACAGTCTTGGATTCTGGATTTCACTCTGTTGATTCCGGATAGATTCCTTGTAAGTGGAACTTGGATTCCGGATTCCTTAAGCTGCATTCCAGATTCCTGAGCTTAGGATTCCAGATTTACCTCACATAGGGCAATTCATTCCAAACGAAACCCAGAAAAGTGCACTCGCAGTCCACAAGTTTTCTGAAGATAATGAACTTATCCTACATAGTATCACATACCATGGGTAGCTCTCAGCATACAGTAGCCTTTTTCTCCGGTAACTGACAATCTGTCATCAGATAACTTGAGTTGAGGAGCTGAAATTATTTATTAATTCAAATGTTAGAATTCTAAAGAGCGCAAGCTACGGAAAAACGAGGTTTTGAAACTAACAGAAAAATAGATTATTCTGCCGAATCAAAGCAGTCGCAGAAATTCCAATTAACTGATAAAAACTCAAAGCCGGAAAATATACGCATGAGGCGCCAGGAGAGCACGTGTCGGTTTGTTATAAATTTCAAGCCCTGATTAGTTAAGAAAGTGACGCGAGATCTTCTGGCCAATCACAAAACCAGCTGCCGTTTGCGCTAAAACGAAACTGCTGTAAGAGGGCTGATAAGCAAAGGAGACTGCGGGCGCTTAACACGCTTTCCATTCTGCCCAAAAATTCCGGTTAGAGAGCAAATGGATCGGACCGTTGCCCCCAGTATCGCTCTTCTGTATCGTGCTTACAAGTACAATAACCAAACGCGCGGTGACTTGGATCGGATCTGTACAACCGGAATGTACCGTTCCAATGGACATGTGGAATTTCAAACAAAATAGGAACAAGAGTGTCGCTACGACCAGCAATTTTGTCTCGTTTCCAAAGAAAATTTAGAGACCTTTAGATTGTAGACGAGGACGACTACAAGGCAACATTTAACTTTTTCACGTATTCTCAAAAATATCCATCCCGGAAGTGACATTTTCGGAAGCCATTATTGTTTACAAACCTCTGTCATTCATAGAAAGAAGAACTTCTTTGTGGAGTTTGACCCTGTAGAGATCTCCAGGGATTGGTTTGCCAGCCCAAAACTCCATGTCCATGTTTGCCAATGGGGCATTGGAGTCTTGTTCCGCTAAAATATATCTATAACCATCCTAAAAAACGGACAAGAATAAAATCGCGTTAAGGGCAAACTGCGCTCTCGTCACCCCCNCAAGGCAACATTTAACTTTTTCACGTATTCTCAAAAATATCCATCCCGTAAGTGACATTTTCGGAAGCCATTATTGTTTACAAACCTCGGTCATTCATAGAAAGAAGAACTTCTTTGTGGAGTTTGACCCTGTAGAGATCTCCAGGGATTGGTTTGCCAGCCCAAAACTCCATGTCCATGTTTGCCAATGGGGCATTGGAGTCTTGTTCCGCTAAAATATATCTATAACCATCCTAAAAAACGGACAAGAATAAAATCGCGTTAAGGGCAAACTGCGCTCTCGTCACCCCCAACTAAACCCCCAGGATCACGACTCGGACGGACCCCAGGCATTTCTTTTATGTTTAATAAGGTTTTGTTTTTAGTTTTTTGTTTTGTTTTACTAATATGGAAAAAAAAGGCACTTACAGACATATAAGAAAACTACTTAACCATATACATTATTTCGCTATTAAGGGACCCATTACTTTATTTATCATTCGAAGCAAATTTTTCTTTCTTTTCATTGGCCGAGAGCCCACCACGTGACCTGCAAATAATATTCTGCTCATGCGTAAAGCAAACCTTGCTTTTCTCCTTCTTGCGATCGCTCTTACGTGAAAATGTCAGATCGCTTCGCTTCCCAAGGATATTCATTAAAAAAAACAAACTCAGTGATCGAATGATAAAGCAATTATTGAACTCGGTTATCGCAAAATATCGTGACTTGTCAGTGTCTCGCAGATCAATTATTTGCCGAAGCCGAGTAATTGATCTGCTCGCCACAGACAAATCACGATATTTTGCTCAACCTCGTCCAGTAATTGTTAAATATTTGCATAAAATCATTTGCTAACTGCAACGAGCTGTCAAAGATAGGAGCAACTTTTTATGACAGTTATTGCATGGCTGTTATTTTGAGAGTTTTAATTTTTATGAATGAGAGAGGATAGAATAAGCACAATATGATAGCATAATATGTAACGCATTTCGCAGAATCCCAGTCTGTAGACGTTGTTCAGCAACGTAATCGTTGAGACGATCATCGTTTGAAATAGTGAAAACCGGGACCTTACAAAACGGCTTATTGTCGAACTTAAGCAAAACTGACAGCAACAGATTGACTGGACAAACCAAAATATTGAATAATAATAACGACCTTTATTAATAAGACAAAAGATGGATCGAAACGCACCACTCAGTCTTCATAGGCAATAGTGTTACGGCTTAACTGACAGTCGACCATCAGCAACGCGAGTTTGTAGCTGACTAATCAGGTCAATACACCATCAACTGACGGTACACAAATCACTTTGATAGTCTGATAGTCATTGTCAATAACGGTCCTTTTTAGAACTACAGTCACCTAGACGATCATATTCCACTTATTTCACTCACATATTCTACTTGTTATACCCACGCATATTTTACTTACTTATAAACACATAATCATTGAAAACTATAACATCTAAAACTAGCTACGACGCGCAAAAAAAGGAGCAAATAATGTGATTAATGAAAAGCTAAACGCAGTTAGATATGATTACAATACTAAAGTTATGTGCATTTTTATTGGCTACGGGAACGCTTCTAATTAGAGCTGCTATTAGATTAATCACTTTTGTATAAAATACTAAATCTTTGTGCGTGTAAAAAAGACTTCATTTTGCAAAAAACTGCTTTCGTTGACGTAGAAGTGGCGTCGCAATTTTGTAAAAAAACAGCTCTTACTCACGTAGAAGTGATCTTGCCTAATTTCAAACCGAAGAGGGCTGGATACGAGTCCGTTTATTATGGGATAAACAACAAGAGAGCCACATAGTCGGAAATTTAGGAAACATCTCACGTTTGGTGTCGATCAGGCCAATATTGAACAAGATACAGTTTTTTAAAATTTGAAACGTAAATTTTGGAGTTTTTGAGTTCAGAATAGGAACCAAACTTGAAAATTTTCCTAACCTGAATGTGCTCTTTCTGACTATGTGGGTTTCTTGTTGTTTACCCCATAGTAAACAGACTCATACCAAGCCCCTCTTGGTGTGAACTTAGGCAATCTGCAGACATTAGAGAGATTTAGAGCCACGCTTACGGCAAACGGCAAACGTCAGGTTCAAGCTGAGAATTTCTCAAAATAGAAAATAAGCCAATAAAAAAGTTCTGAACAATTCGAATGTATAAAAATGGCGTGAATTTACTAATTTTTGTGTGAAAAACATGAACAGTAAACAACAACTTGGTCACGTGGTGCAAATCCGCGTTTGCCGTTTGCCGTACAAACGTGATTCTATTTTCTCTTTTAGCTTTTCTACACGTAGAAAGGATGTAATTCTGAGAAAAAAGTTTAATATATGTAGAGGTGAGAGCAATTTCTAAACAATGGCTTTTGTACATGCAAAACTGGCGTCATTAGGTAAACGATAGTGCTCAAACCCACAATAGAGCCTTTTCGCAGTAGCAGACAAATTTGGAATTATCTTTGAAAGATCTACACCAAAAATTGTATGGTGACAATTTTTGTTTTGAAAAAAATTGTCCGCACTGGAAACTATTTACTCATAACAGACCGTCACATTAAAACCATCACTTTTTCAACATGTTTCACTGTTGGTTAAAATTAGGTGATCATTTTTACACTAATAATATGGTGTCACCATTGCTTTGAGCTATTCCTGCATTAATTTCTTGCATTGTTTCTGCACAATTCGCCTGATTTGTAGCTTTGTTTTGATTTCCGTTCTCCATTGATACTCGAGCCTGGTTACACTGGGGCATCGCATAAAACAATTTTTGCCAGAACCACTTGTCACTGATTCCCACGTAAGTGTTACTGCGCATGTACAGCTTAATTTCGTCATCCAGCTCGGCTACGTCAACGTCATCGAATAGAATAATTATTAGATAATTCATGCGATCTTCTAACACTTTACGGTGTGCAGCACGAAACTCCAGCAAGCACCACTCACTCCTTGCAAAGCTGCGAGACAAAACCATCAGCATGCGTTTGCTTTTATCGACGCTTTTCAAAATATTTTCGTCAATCGCTGCTCCACCAACGAAATCGCGGTCTTGAAAGCATATTTTGTAAGAAGGATCTTGAGCTTCCAGTCCCTTGAGTAGAGTGTCGACGACCCACGGTAAATCATCTTTGTGGTATGATATAAATGCGTCATATATTTTGCTTGGATCGGAATCATCGATTCGATCAAACGGGTGCCAGTTAAAATGAGTGAACATAAAAACCTTAACGTCCCTGTGGCACTTGTACAACAATGTCACGAGGATTAGAGTGACAAAGAGAAGCCCTCCAAAAACAGAACAAGTTATAGTTTGAGCGGACTTACTTTGTTCTCGAGGTTTAGTCATTTTAGGACTTTTATTCGAATGCTGACAAGTGAAATTTTTAATCGGCAAACTGTATATTGGTTGACCAAGAGCGTTTTCTGACTTGCAAAGCACCTTTTCGACGTCTCTTATCCGAAGTTTGTTGTTCAGAAGCCACTGTTTCATCCATTTGGTTGTACAGTCGCATTTAAACAAGTTTTGATCCAGTGCCAATTCCGTAAAATTCATTGATTCAATTTCCCTGGGTAAACTTGTTAGCTTATTAGAATCAATCAGCAATACTTCCATAATTTGTAGTTTCTGCAGTACGGATGCTTGAAGCTGATCAATTTTGTTATTTGTCAGTTTTAAAACAGTCACATTTGTTAAAAAGGAATACGCTGGAATGTCCTTAATTTCATTGTTTATTAAGTTGAGTTCGATTATACCTTGTGGCATTATACTGGGAAATTTTGTGAGATTCCTTTCCTCACAATCAACAATAACAATACCATCCGAACAACGTTCCTGACAGAAGCATTTTGGTGGACAATTTTGCGGAGGACTTTTTCTTGGCATCCACTGATTTTCTCCTAACTCAAGAATCGATTTACCTTTAACTCTATAAGGCCAGTCACATATCCAGGTGTTGAAACGTGGCTTGATTTTAGGATTTGTTTTTAAAATCTTTCTAACTTCCCTCGCGACAGCCCACATAATGCAATCACAACCTAATGGATTTCCGCTCAACTTGATATCGTAGGCTTTCCAAAGATAAGCAAGCCTGGCTTGACGCGCAGGAGGAATCAATCTGTCCGCTCTTATTTGTTCTAAACCAGCGGAATCTATTAGCGTGCTGATGTTACTGTTGCTCAAATTAAGAACTATGGGTGTTTTTTCAAGTGGATCACTAAATATTGGTTGATCAAAATCTTCTAATGCCTTCTCAAGATCTTGAAATGTCAGTTCATTAAATGAAAGATCAATTACTTCAATTTTTATTAGCCCAAAAATCCAGGAAGGAAAGGAAGAAAGCTTGTTATTTCGGAGATTAAGCCAGCGTAAACCGGAGTGTTTGGGGAATGGGTTTTGCTCAATTTTTGTGATCTTGTTAGCATCTAAACGCACACCTTCCAGACTGCGTAGAGAATGAAACAATCCATCAGGAAGAGAAGTGAGATTGTTGTGTCCTAGATGAATTCGCTTGATGTTTTCCAATCCTTCAAACAGATTTTGTTCAAGGAATGATAAGTTGTTTTTTCCAAGAAAAATATTTAACAGGGAACTTAATCCCTGAAATAGATTTTTAGGCAGGGAAGTTAATTTGTTTCTGCGCAGATCAATCGTTTGGATTCCTTTCAAATTAGAAAAACACGTTGGGCCAACGCTTTTTAAGCCATTCCCTTCAAGACGTATTATATGCAGGAACCCACGAAACTCATGAGAGGATAGATCTTCGATTTTATTGTAACTCAAGTCTAAGCCACGGACATATATGTTTTTTGCAACATGGACTCCAAAATTCTTCACGTCTTGTTCAATGGAATATTCCGTTTTTCTTAACGTGCGAAAGATTTCAAGAGTGGAGTTATTCCAAGGGAACTGCGGTGGCTGAGTCAAGTTGTTATTTTTCAGGTAGAGGTATTGCAACCGAGGCATGGTAGATTTCCATTGTTCCGGAATCCTGCTAATTGACATATTGCTCAAAGTCAGCTCTTCCATACTTAGGAACACATTCTCTGTGTGCATGTGAGTGAACATGCTGGGTAAATTTTCGGAATGGCTGTTATAAACACGGATCAAAGAAATTTCCTTAAAGACTTTTGCAAAAGTTAGATTTGTAGAGCTGGTCAAGTTTGCCCTACCTGACCAGTCTATCTCACGGAAATCAGCGGCCTCGGCCCAGGCAACAAGACTTGAGGTTATGACTTTGCACTCGCCGGTGAATGACAGACTTAGTATAATATTCTTGTTAACAACGTTCAGTGGATTTATGAAATAAAGCTGCATCGGAGAAAGGCAACCAAACCCAAAAGAAACAATAATTAATGTGCTGTTCTTGGCGTTCACGTAAGTATTCAAAGCCAAGCCGATGTCAAATGGATACGTGACTCCACGTACCTCGCTTTTCAGCCAACAGCCCACCATTCTATCTTTAACAGCAATTCCTTGTTCAGTTTCGAACGTGGGTGCTGCTTTAACGATAATATTAAACCAGCACGGATTAGTTGCGTTGGTGCCAGTGCAAGTCGTTGCAAAGCAGAGCAAAGTAACAATAAACACAAGGCAGTGTTCAGCCATTTTCTCATCTGGTAAATGCGCCATTGATTGTGCAATCGTTACCTCAATCTAATTGTTTTGTAACTAGTAGCTGGGTTCAATACAAGCGAGCTCCTGTGTCGTGTTCTTTCACCGAAGGCACCTTTAACATCAAGAGGTAGAAAAACACGACTGACGACGCCAGCTTTTCTGATACGCGAAGCGATGTCTCACCAATAAATAATCATGCGTCCGCACGAGGGTCGAACGTAAAAACTACTGAAGCGCAGTTTGCTTCGATGGCTTATAATGGTGGAAGAGCCGAGACACGTTAATAATAGACCGTTACGACATTGACAAGCTGCAAAAAGCGCTGAAGTAATTGTTGCTTCTATGAATTAGTTGAATGGTTCACAAAAGACGACTATAACGAAAACAATACCGCAATAACAGGAATTTATTCCGATAGGACAGAATTTTATCTCCCCAGAAAGTTATGACAGCTTATGTCTATTCTTAATCCTAGAAATCAACTCGTGTGTAATAGTTCGCTGACCTGTGACAAATGTTTTACTTTCCAAAAGGAAGTTGAATCCGTTCAGGAAACTGCTTCCGTTCGGATTGTTTCACGACAGTTCCTTTATTTAGTTTAGTTTTGCTGATTTCACGCTTTGATATAAAACTGGGCGTTAGTGAAGAAATTACTTCTTCATGACAAAATGATAACTTCATAAAACTGGACGGCTGACAGATCCGTTATTATCTTCCTCGATTTTGCCCATCCCTCGCCTTCTTCTTCCTTTGTCGTTCTTATCTTTTTTATTTCAGCTTTTCTGATTTGCGATGCGATGTCTCACCAATAAAGAGAGGGGTGAATAGGGGTATGCAAATCCGCCGATCCGTTATGATTTATTAACCAAATCCGCCGTTAAAATTTTGCCTGAATCCGAAATCCGGGTAAAAATACTTTTATTACACGCAAAGTCCAAAATCCGGGCCCCAAAAAAGGATGAATCCGCAATCCGCTGCAATTGCAGGATCCGGAAACCCGTTAAAATCCCGCTTTGAATCCGAAATCCGGGCAAAAATATTTTTAAAATCCGCCGATCCGTTCGCCTATTCACCCCCCTAAATAAATAATCATGCGTCCGAACGAGGGTCGAACGTAAAAACTACTGAAGCGCAGTTTGCTTCGATGGCTTATAATGGTGGAAGAGCCGAGACACGTTAATAATAGACCGTTACGACATTGACAAGCTGCATAAAGCGCTGAAGTAATTGTTGCTTCTATGAATTAGTTGAATGGTTCACAAAAAGACGACTATAACGAAAACAATACCGCAATAACAGGAATTTATTCCGATAGGACAGAATTTTATCTCACCAGAAAGTTATGACTACATATATCTATTCTTAATCCTAGAAATCAACTCATGTGTAATAGTTCGCTGACCTGTGACAAATGTTTTACTTTCCAAAAGGAAGTTGAATCCGTTCAGGAAACTGCTTTCGTTCGGACTGTTTCACGACAGTTCCTTTATTTAGTTTAGTTTTGCTGATTTTTCACTTTGATATAAAACTGGGCGTTAGTGAAGAAATTACTTCTTCATGACAAAATGATAACTTCATAAAACTGGACGGCTGACAGATCCGTTATTATCTTCCTCGATTTTGTACATCCCTCGCCTTCTTCTTCCTTTGTCGTTCTTATTTTTTTTTAGTTCCTCTACTATTTAGGCGAGTAAAACCAACGACCTAGCGACCGCTATACGCCCATGCTGCGAATGAATGTGTCCGTAATGCCTACTAATCGAACGAGCGAACAGGTGATTTCTCGCTCTACAAGGAGAGGGGTGAATAGGGGTATGCAAATCCGCCGATCCGTTATGATTTATTAACCAAATCCGCCGTTAAAATTTTGCCTGAATCCGAAATCCGGGCAAAAATACTTTTATTACACGCAAAGTCCAAAATCCGGGCCCCAAAAAAGGAAGAATCCGCAATCCGCTGCAATTGCAGGATCCGGAAACCCGTTAAAATCCCGCTTTGAATCCGAAATCCGGGCAAAAATATTTTTAAAATCCGCCGATCCGTTCGCCTTTTCTCCCCCCTCAACAAGCGACCAGCGCTGTTCCAAGCTAACGCCGCCTTTAATAGCTTGCTTACACCGACAAAATACTGTGTGTCACCGCCGATCTTAAACCAAACTGAATCAAAATTTGGACAGAAGTTATTTTGTTCGTTACCATAACTTGATATACAGTTTTAAATTGTAATACAGAATAACTGACAAACTGCAGTGTTGCCAAGATTATTAGTTCATGAACTTGCACAAAGAATTAAGGTGGCTCCGTCGGTACTGTTTTTCACGATCTATCGAGCGGTTTATAAATTCTTCGCTTACTTGTTAAAGTAGACCAAAATAATGTTTACAAAACCGCTAACAAGCGCGCCCCAAGACACACTAATCAAATCCTTCTTACTAGCAATCGGCTGGAGCTCTTTCCATGATCTTTCACACACGTTTTTAAAAAGATTGAAACTACTATGAGGTGAAATTGCAAGTCAAAAGAGCTTCGTTTTCTACAGATAACTACCCTGGTCCCAGAGGTTTTTCTTGATTTTTCTTCGCGAAAGAGATCAAGAGCAAGCCGCGAAGCGGCGACAACGAGTCGCGAAAGCGACGAGTAGAGAGCGAAAAACCTCTGGTTACCTTGGCCTCGAATCTCACTTTCATGCAGACGACAGGGTCAGGATCTGAACCTCGGGCGTTGATTGGTAGATATTTTTTCAAACACGCAAACCAATTTGATTGGCTTGTTTAATTGTAACTACCGAGGGGACGCTGAGGATTTGCACACCTCATTTCTGAAGGTAAATTTTGCCTCTCTACCAGGGAAGAAAATTGTTTGTATACTGCACTCGCAATAACATCTGCACGGGACCAGGGGCCCGTTTCTCGAACGTCCCGATAATTAACGGGCCCGGTAAGCTGTCGCCATTTACATTAAAGATCGAGGTTTCAATAGTTTTGCATCTAACGTGATAATACTGTCAGTTAGTGAAACAAAATGGAGCAGTTTGTTAGCCAGGACCCGCGCTCTTATTCTTTATATTTCGATTTGAATATTTGATTTCGGGCCCGTAAAGTTACCGGGACTTTCGAGAAACGGGCCCCAAGGCACGTAAAGGCACGCCATGTTTCGAGATTTTGACTTGGATGTTGTTCCTGAAAGAATATTCGAAGAAATTTTGACCTCGGTACTTGATGAGCGCTTTCCTGAGTCTCACTGAGCAATAAAAGAAAGCTTTGTTCGCCGCCTTGAGTCGAAAGGATGTGTTCACCATTTTATCAACCGGACATGGAAAGTGTATAATATTTCAGTTGTTACCAGCTGTTTGCAAGTACCTTTCCTTAAGAGGATACTCATATCCTCGCCATGCAATAATTTTGGTTGTCTGTCCTCTCAAGTCTCCTGTGGACTCGCATATCCGCGAACTGCGAAACCGTGGCGTCTCAGCAACCAGTTTGAGCAGTCCAGACGTTGACGACCAGAATTTCGTGACTCGATGTATATACCATTTTCTGTTACAATACTGTCATTCCATTAAATAAACTGACTTGTTTAGGGCAGCAAAATATAAATCTCCGAATACGGAATGAAAGTTTTCTTGTAGGAAAAAAAAAACATACAACTTTGTACAAGTAGGTAATCATTTTCGGTGCAGCTTGCATTTTCCTGCGACGCTCAATATTTATCTTTAAAGATCTAACCAACGTTATTTTTGGCATTGGGTCAACAGAACAGAACAGAACAGATGACAATGTTGTGAAAAATCCTTGTTATTATACCCAAAAACGTTGATTTTAGATCGGCAATTTATTTTTACATAAATTCTGCAAATCCTGCAGCAGTCGTTTGGAACAATGTTGGTTTCTTTATAAAGTGGTTTTCTAATTCCTGGACTCTTGTCGCCCATTGTTAACACATGCTTTAGCTTGACCCCGATTAACAAATCACTCTTTAGCACCCAAATGGAGATGGTTTGTTCATAACATAATTTCCCAAGGTCTACCCCCGGTTAAAAAAATAGCGCCTGATAAGCACGTGTTTGCTAAATTGCCATTGGTCACTCTTTTTATTAGCAATTAGACGCGTTTGACAGCTGTCGTCTGCATGAAAGTGAGATTTGAGGCCAAGGTAACCAGAGGTTTTTCGCTTTCTCCTCGTCGCTTTCGCGACTCGTTGTCGCCGCTTCACGGCTTGCTCTTGATCTCTTTCGCGACGAAAAATCAAGAAAAACCTCTGGGACCAGGGTAACAGATAACGACGGAACATCAAGATTGTCCATTTTTTACCGTATTTCTAACCATAGAAACTTCATCCCAAAATATCTTGATAACGCTCTGCCAGATTTCGCTTAAACTTCACGAACATCGAGGCGGCTATTGGAGGAAAAAGGTCTAGTGAACGATTTTGGAAGAACAGTTCCCAGTGCCGGAAAATACTGCTGAAAGTAAAATTAGTAATGGCGTCACTTCGTTGCTACGACAACTTCGATGTCATCATCGAATACAGTTGTGGTGACAATTTATCCGAATCTTTGTTTATGGCGACGTAGTTTATGCTCAAACTTGGGAGGTATTGATCCTTAAAAACTGTATCGAGCAACCTTAAAAGTTTTGCTGACAAAAGTTTGCGGTTATTCATCAAAGTACATGCAATAATAATAATAGACTAGCTGTTTCACGATGAAGTCACTAGAGATGCAAATCAAGTTTAGCAGAATTTTTCGTTTTTTTAATCATTATACAAAAGTACGTTTATTCATATCACTTGGAAACAAAAGATGAAGAGACAAGAGACCAGCGACACTCAGGGTGCTGTCTTGAGGATAAGGCAGTGTATGACGTAATTGAAATACCCTGGATATGAGATCGTGAGTTGAAATACCGACAGTAAACATAATGCATTCTCTCTCCGTCACATAAAATTACTGCTTCCCATTTGACTATCTTTTTTGCACCAGTAATATGGTGTCACCATTGCTCTGATCTATTCCTACTACAGTTTCTGGAATTGTATTGCCGGAGTCCTCATAGTTCGCAGCTTGGTTCTGATTTCTGTTCTCCAGTGATTCTCGAGCCTGGTTACGCTGCGGCATCGCGTAATACAATTTTTGCCAGAAATTCTTATCACCGACTCTTACGTATTGTTTAGTGCGCATGTACAGTTTAATTTCGTCATCCAGCTCGGCTACGTCAACGTCATCGAACAGAATAATTATTAGATAATTCATACGATCTTCTAACACTTTACGATGTGCAGCACGAAACTCCAGCAAGCACCACTCACTCCTTGCAAAGCTGGGAGACAAAACCATCAGCATGCGTTTGCTTTGATCGACGCTTTTCAAAATATTTTCTTCAATCGCTGCTCCGACAAGGAAGTCGCGGTGGTGAAAGCATATTTTGTAAGGAGGATCTTGAGTTTCCAGGCCCTTGAGTAGAGTGTCGACGACCCACGGTAAATCATCTTTGCTGTACGATAATAAGGCGTCATATATTTTGCTTGGATCGGAATCATCGATGCGATCAAAAGGGTGCCAGTTAAAATGAGTGAACATAAAAACCTTAACTTCCCTGTGGTACTTGTACAACAGAGCCACCAATATTAAGATCGTTAGGAGGAGACCGCCAAGAAATGAAGCCACTATGGTTTCTGGAAACTCATTTTCATCTTCAGAAATGGGCCTTTCGGTAGTCATGTAACAAATGAAATTGTTATTTGGCAAACTGTATATTGCTTGACCAAAAGTGTTTCCTGAGTTGCAAAGCACCTTTCCAATGTTTCGTACGTGATCTCTGTTGTTCAGAAGCCACTGTTTCATCCATTTGGTTGTACAGTCGCATTTAAACAAGTTTTGATCCAGTGCCAATTCCGTAAAATTCATTGATTCAATTTCCCTGGGTAAACTTGTTAGCTTATTAGAATCAATCTGCAATTCGTTAATAATTCGTAGTGTCTGCAGTACGGATGCTTGAAGCTGATCAATTTTGTTATTTGTCAGTTTTAAAACAGTCACATTTGTTAAAAAGGAATACGCTGGAATGTCCTTAATTTCATTGTTTATTAAGTTGAGTTCGATTATACCTTGTGGCATTATACTGGGAAATTTTGTGAGATTCCTTTCCTCGCAATCGACGATAACAATACCATCCAAACAACGTTCCTGACAGAAGCATTTTGGTGGACAATTTTGCGGAGGACTTTTTCTTGGCATCCACTGATTTTCTCCTAACTCCAGAATCGATTTACCTTTAACTCTATAAGGCCAGTCACATATCCAGGTGTCGAAACGTGGCTTGATTTTAGGATTTGTTTTTAAAATCTTTCTAACTTCCCTCGCGACAGCCCACATAATGCAATCACAAGCTAATGGATTTCCGCTCAACTTGATAACGTAGGCTTTCCAAAGATAGATAAACTTGGATTGGCGCAAAGGAAGAATCAATCTGTCCACTTTTATTTGTTCTAAACCAGCGGAATCTATTAGCGTGCTGATGTTATTGTTGCTCAAATTAAGAACTATGGGTGTTTTTTCAAGTGGATCACTATATATTGGTTGATCAAAATCTTCTAATGCCTTCTCAAGATCTTGAAATGTCAGTTCATTAAATGAAAGATCAATTACTTCAATTTTTATTAGCCCAAAAATCCAGGAAGGAAAGGAAGAAAGCTTGTTATTTCGGAGATTAAGCCAGCGTAAACCGGAGTGTTTGGGGAATGGGTTTTGCTCAATTTTTGTGATCTTGTTAGCATCTAAACGCACACCTTCCAGACTGCGAAGAGAATGAAACAATCCATCAGGAAGAGAAGCGAGATTGTTATGTCCTAGATGAATTTGCTTGATATTTTCCAATCCTTCAAACAGATTTTGTTCAAGGAATGATAAGTTGTTTTTTCCAAGAGAAATATTTAACACGGAACTTAATCCCTGAAATAGATTTTTAGGCAGGGAAGTTAGTTTGTTTCTGCGCAGATCAATCGTTTGGATTCCTTTCAAATTAGAAAAACATGTTGGTCCAACGCTTTTTAAGCCATTTCCTTCAAGACGTATTATATGCAAGAACCCGCGAAACTCATGAGAGGATAGATCTTCGATTTTATTGTAACTCAAGTCTAAGCCACGGACATATATGTTTTTTGCAACATGGACTCCAAAATTCCTCACGTCTTGTTCAATGGAATCTTCCGTTTTTGTTAACGTACGAAAGATTTCAAGAGAGGAGTTATTCCAAGGGAACTGCGGTGGCTTGGTCAAGTTGTTATTTTTCAGGTAGAGGTATTGCAACCGAGGCATGGTAGACTTCCATTGTTCCGGAACCCAGGAAATTGACATATGGTATAACGCCATTCGTTGCATCTTTGGAAAGATATTCCTTGTATCCGTAAACATGCCTGGTAAATTTTCAACATGATTGTCAACAGCGATAGCAGAAATTTCTTTAAAGTATTTTGCAACAGTTAAATTGGTTGAGCGAGTGACGCTTAATTTCTTCCCTTGAAAACCTAATACACGTAAATCGGTTGCCTTGGCCCACACAACAAGATTTTCCATTAACAATTGGCACTCGCCCTTGAATGACAGACTTAGTATAATATTCTTTTTAACAATGTTCTGAGACTGCGGATTAACAAATTCAAGTTCCATTGGAGACAAGCAGCTGAACCAGACTGTAGTGTCAATTATAGTCTTGCTCTCAGCATCTATGAAGGTATTTAAAACCCAGCTGATGTCGAACCGATACCTCATTCCACGAACTTGGCTGTTTAGTTTACAAGTTACCACAAAATCCTTTGTGTTAGTTCCTTCTTTAGTCTCGAATCTGGGTGCTCCTTTTTCCATCCGACAAGGATTCGTTCCGTTGACGCAAGAAAAAAACGTCGTAAAGCAAAGCAAAGTGGCCATCATCAGCACAACAGGAACGTCCTGCCATCACCTTAGAAGTAAACTCGTCACTCAAATTGGTTTTTGAATTTTTCCGGCTACACCGAATGTACAGATAACGAACTAATTTGCCAGTTCGTCGTCACAGTCTCATGAACAATGAACACAGTAAATAATAACGCGATCTGGCGAGACAAGGACCGCAGAAATTATCTGGTTGCTTTGATAGAAGAGAGTCAAAATACGCAAACCTTCATGATTCAGACTGCACAAGACGGTAAAAAAATGATTGCTTCGTTAAATGAAGCCATTTTAATGATAATAACATCTCCAGGACAGGAAGTTTTCCCGCTTCAATGAAATTTCTTTATCTCACTTAAGAATAGTTTTAAATTCACTGAAACGAGAGAACTACTTTGCAATTTGCTTTCCAAACGGAAGTTTACTCCGTTTAGAAAATTTCGTTTGGAAGGTAATTAAATTAACAACTAGTAACAACCAAAGGTTAAGGAGTACGGGCGACAACGTCGAAGGTAAAAACGCTTTTGATCCATCGCTGTGCTTTGCGAAAGTTTCACGTGAGAGTCAAAACACGCGTGATCAAATAACGAGAGATAAAAGGTCAAAACGCGCGCGATCAAATTGCGTGTACATTCCATTCATTCTTAATGGAAGTCCAAACGAATGCTGGCTACATACAGTACACTGTACATGCGACTCATGCGTAATAACAACCTGGAGATTAGGATTGCGGGTTCCTCTTGTCGCCAGCAATAATAAATAATAATAATAATAATAACAATAATAATAATAATAATAATAATAATAATAATAAAATGTTTAAAGATCAAAGCCTCAAAAAGATGGTCCGACCCTAAGAACAGCTGAGTGGGAGGCTCCAACAACACCAAACACAATGAAAATGGTTGAAAAACACGAGCAACAAGACTATGACATAAAATCTACCAACCAGTTAGTGCCAGTCATGATTTGGGGCATGGCAATATTCATGCCATAGTATGGCTTTAAAATTATTAACAAAGGTATGGACTGACCTTGTTAAAAGGATGTTCTAGGGGGTAACCATGTGGAGGAAGCTTCTGAGATGGCGGTAGATCACTAGTGAAGAAGAAAAAATTTTATAGCATCTAATATCAATGTTATAGTCATTCTAACAAGGAATTGTGATGTGAATGTGAGTTAAAGGGAAAAAGAAGGTTAAGAGTCCTTATTTTATGTCAGTAGCTCAAAATAGTCATCTGACTAACAAACCTGAGGCAGACGGTACACTCATTTTACCAACCCCACCTCCCCCTCTCCCCCCTTGCCCTGCCTCACTCTATCAGTGCTCCATTTTATGGGTATTTTAAGCTACGTAAAGCTACATGGAAAGGACGGAAGTCAAATGAAGGATTTGTGGTCACACCCGGGAATTGAACTGGGGACCTGCCACACAGACAGCCGCACACTAACCAACTGTGCTATTTATCGTAGCTGCTGCTAGCATTGGAACTGGAAGGTGTTACTGGCAATAAGAGCTACAAATAAACTTGTATGAAGCATGATATGACTGGAAATTGGAGTGTAATAATACCAGGATGAAAACATAGAAAAACTTTGATGGTGAAATATGCCATACATGTGGCTAAATGTAATTTAGGCAAAGTTAAATTGCAAGCCAATGCAGTCAGCGGTCTCCTCCTCAGGCATAGGTGATCTGTGGAGTGACCGCAGGAGCCTTTTGCTTATCTTATGCCGTACGTTGCATCTCATGCTGGCATATTTGAGCTGACCTTTGCGGACCTGTTGCTTAAGTGAATCTTTGCGGATTCTAGCTCCCAGCCCATCCCTCCCCTTCTGTGCATTGGTAAGTATGGGTTCAGGTGAGTATTTTCCACTGATTTCTTTCAGTGTGACGGTGCCAGTTGGTGGATGCATGCAGGGGTGGTTCCTGCTCACAGGGTTGCCATGGATACCTCCTTGCTATGCCTGAGGCATTCAGGCGCCTGTCCAACCTCTAAGGCACCAGTTCCCAAGCTCATCTATTGGCGATGAGTTTAATAAATATTTGTTTGGGGCTTTCTATGCATTGCAGTAAGCAGAAACTAATATAAATTCCTTTTTTCTTTGAGAATATAGGAAAGAAGATGAGAATTTTTATAAAATTTAAACTAAAGGATAAACTGAACCACAACATACATGTAGCCACATTTTTCAGTAACACAGTCCAGAGTTAGTAACTAATTCAGACAAATGAGAACGGCTTGACTAACTTCAAAAGGCATTTTCCCGCAAAATTCCCAGGAGTGAATGGGTTAAGATAAAATTAATACTGATCACTTTATGCTTCTATGATTACAAGATTTATATTTCAACCACAAACACATCCTCTTTCCACTTGTTTTTGGCAAGTAACATTACACTTGTTTCCACTCACTATGCTAGTAAATTTAAAAAGTAAATCTCAAGACCTGCTGGTACTGTATAGCATGCAACTGTAAGCCTAATAATCACAGCTAACATTGTATTAAGTGATTCTTTTATCGGTGAGGAGAACGATAANCGGATTCTAGCTCCCAGCCCATCCCTCCCCTTCTGTGCATTGGTAAGTATGGGTTCAGGTGAGTATTTTCCACTGATTTCTTTCAGTGTGACGGTGCCAGTTGGTGGATGCATGCAGGGGTGGTTCCCGCTTACAGGGTTGCCATGGATACCTCCTTGCTATGCCTGAGGCGTTCAGGTGCCTGTCCAACCTCTAAGGCACCAGTTCCCAAGCTCATCTATTGGCGATGAGTTTAATAAATATTTGTTTGGGGCTTTCTATGCATTGCAGTAAGCAGAAACTAATATAAATTCCTTTTTTCTTTAAGAATATAGGAAAGAAGATGAGAATTTTTATAAAATTTAAACTAAAGGATAAACTGAACCACAACATACATGTAGCCACATTTTTCAGTAACACAGTCCAGAGTTAGTAACTAATTTAGACAAATGAGAACGGCTTGACTAGCTTCAAAAGGCATTTTCCTACAAAATTCCCAGGAGTGAATGGGTTAAGATAAAATTAATACTGATCACTTTATGCTTCTATGATTACAAGATTTATATTTCAACCACAAACGCATCCTCTTTCCACTTGTTTTGGCAAGTAACATTACACTTGTTTCCACTCACTATGCTAGTAAATTTAAAAAGTAAATCTCAAGACCTGCTGGTACTGTATAGCATGCAACTGTAAGCCTAATAATCACAGCTAACATTGTATTAAGTGATTCTTTTATCGGTGAGGAGAACGATAACTCACCCCTTTGATTTCTTAGATGAAGACAACTGTTGACTGCTGTCCAGTTTCCGTTTTCCTCGGGCTGATTTTCTCGGCACTGTGCCTGAAGATTCCTTTCCTTTACCAAGTAAACCACTGGTATTCAGACTGCTATTCAAACTGCTTAAGCTGCTACTCAAACTGGAGGTCAGATCATGTTTACCTATGTGTCCGTTACCAGGTAACATGTCTTTGTTCTCAGACACCTGAGCTAAGGCAATCAACAGATCATTGTCTGTCAGACTTCTATCAACTCTCATCTCTGGCTCACTCTCCAAGGCATCATACCCATCCATCTGTAGATAATAGACACAAACTAAGATAAGTCCCAAATGAATGCACCCACCTTCAAACTGTTTTAATACTGCACTCTACTTTTATCATAAACAAAAGAGATGGGATGAGCATGTAGTACAAAAATTATAATTTTGTTGAGTTTTTATTTTTCTTTCTTCTGAACTTCATGCCCTACTTCGATTACAAGTAGCTAACTGTGGTTGCCTGAAATATTTCCCTTTACTGGTTCAGTCTTAAATTTAATCCTTGTAATCTGTTTGATGTGCAATAAAATAATTGTTGTTGTTGTTGTTGTTTAATAAATGCCCACATATAAGAAAATACGATTTTGGGGTTCAGGCTGATCAAGTTCTTACTTACCATGTGCTTAGTGAGAAATCATGTGCATGAAAATTGTTTCAGAAATGCTACACATTATACATTCATTCTAGAGGGTTAATTAACATGTAATGTTTTATCACTTACACTAAAAGTAAATTTCAAATAAAAATAAATAAATAGTATCAATAATAATAATAATAATAATAAAAATAATACAATAATTTTACATTAACTTTTAATTATCAAAAACTCAACATCAAGTTATAAAGGAGTTTCAGGGCTGTCTACCCCCTACGTCTTTACTGAGAATTTACAGGGACAAGATGATAAATGACCTCGTATTGCATGGCATACGACGTAATTTGTGCAAAAAATACTCAGTCGTTGACCGCCATCGACATAAAATTATATACAATATAAACAGATCATATTTAGCCACATTATTGCCTAAATTACAATGGCATACTGAAGTTTATGAGGAAACGTTCCATGTTAACAGTAAAATGGCTCAAACAATGCATGCAAAATATTTAAAATTTACAGTCAGAAATTTGAGTCTACAAGAATTAGCAATCTTTGGCGATTATCAGGGAGATTTCAGACTCTAATCTGGAGACAGGGAGATACGGTCCAAAATCTGGAGTCTCCCAGAGTATCCAGGAGAGTTAACACGACTGTAGTTTTAACATTTCATAACTTTCCTTAGTTCTGCAGACCTGCAGCCAATTCCTGACCTCTAGGTTCTAATTCTAGCATCCTCTTTCACTTTCAAGTTATTGGTGTTGTTTGGTGTTGCAGAAATCACAGTTGGTTTGCAAGTTGTTGTATTACGTAAATGTTTTTGTTGAAATGACATTAGATCAAGCGTGCTTATATTATATGAACATTAGAAAGACTGTCTTTTAAAACAAAGAAAATGTATCAGGGATAATAAAAGGTGTGTCTACAGATGTGGAGAGTGATTTTTAGGCAATAAACAGTCAGTAATTTCTAAATGCTACAAATTTAGGCCACTAAAAGGAAAGCAGAAATTCCAGGTGGGTGGGGGTGTTATATAAGTCCCCTCTGGAACGGATACTCCGAGGTGGTAGGTGGGAGGGGGGGGGGGGGGCTCATCTGAAAGACTTTTTTTTGGGGGTACTGTATGGGTATTTTCTGGATTGAACAAAGTTCTTCTGTTATTTAAATAATGTGTTGGGTTCTTTTCCTAAACCTATTTAATTAGTAATTTT